CGGGGGCTGCCGAAGCCGCTCAGGAGCTGGGCCCAGTCATCGTCGATGTCCCCAAACAGCCTGGGCAGGGGCGCCTCCTCTGGGGCCACGGCCTGAGGGGCTGGGCGCTTCAGGCTCCCTCCAGGGCCGCTGGAAGGAAGCGAAAGTGGAATGGGGCGCAGGACCCACTGGCCTCCGCTCCCCACCTTTCCCCCGGGGCCGCAGCGCGCCTCCCTCCTCCTCCACACCAGCGCCCACCCTGCGCTTCCAGCTCGGCAGGGCTAGGCTCTCAGTGCGTGCGCCCACGGCTGCGTGGTCTTGGCCACCGGTCTTGCCTCCCTGTGCCTCAGTCTCCCCTCTGGTGCAGAGGTGACAGCACTTGCCTGGCTTCCTCTTCCACCTGCCAAGACACTCGGCCCCTGGCCGCATTCAGGCGGCCCCGGGTCACCTGCAGCTGTCCCCGCACCTCCTCCAGCTGCTCGGCCAGGTCTCTCCCCGCCTCCCTGAGCTGCAGGTTCTCTGAGGTGGCCTCTCGGTGGGTGTCACTGAGGCTGTGGAGCTGGGCTTCCAGCTGTTGAGGGAGAAATAAAAGGGGGTTGAAAAGAAAAGGGGATGATATGCAGCTGCCCCCCCAGAGCCACAGCCACAGTCCCCTGCTCCACGCTGCTGGGCTCCAGGTTCATCACTCGCTGCTCCTTGAACCTCTGCTACACAATACCACCCCAGGGCCTTTGCACAAACCACTCCCTCTGCCCCACTGCTCCTCCTGACATGCACCCCTTCGGGTCCCCATGCCAACACCATGGTCTCAGCGAGGCCTGTGATTCCCTCTGCCCAGCCTCCTCCTGGGCACTGAGTGTGATCTCTGCTCTTGTGCACTCGAGTCCTCATCCCCTGTCCTGACTCCGTGGCAGCTCTGTGGGTGGGTTGCATCCCTCAGAACCTCCTACAGTGCCGGGCACATGCTAGGGGCTGTTGGGGGAGGGCAGGAGGGACTCAGAGCGGTCACTCGGCTGGCAGTGGAGATCGAACTCCAGAGCCGCATTCGACCTCAGCTTGGACACACAGCCTGGAGGACACCGTTTTATAGATGGAGAAACTGACGCCAGGCCTCGTCAGGACCCGGGCTGCTCACCTCGCTCTGGCCCTGCACCAGCCGCTGCACCTCACGATCCTTGGCCGCCAGGGCGTCCTGCACCTGGGCGCTGAGGGCCAGGCCCCGGGAGTCGCTCTGTGGAGGAGGCGCCTGAGCCGCGGGCCCTACAGCACTGCTGTTCTGGCCCGGGGTGCAGGAGCTCCTGGGGTCCCCTGGCTGCACCTAGGTGGCCACAGCAAGGAGAGCCAGGTGGCGGCCCAGGCCCTGGTCACCCCCATGGCTCCGGGGAGCCCGCAGCGCCCACCTGGGCCTGCAGCTGCTGCTTTTCCCGGTGGACCTGGTGCTCCAGCTCCTCGTACAGCCGCTGCACCTCACGGCGGTGGTCGGAGTCGCGCCTGGGGGACAGGGCGGGCACCCGGTGGCACTTGGCACCTCTGTAATGCAGGCCCTGGGCAGGCTGGGCCCTCGCCACCCAGGCTGCGACGCGGCGACCTGTGTGGGAGCTGTCCCCGTCCACCCCGAGTGCTGACCCTGTGGCAGGGATGAAGCCGCCCACACTCACTTCTGCAGCCTGCGCTCTAGGGCCTCCCTGTCGGCCTGGACCTCCTGCAGGCGGCTCCTCATCTTGGCCAGAAACCCCTCCAGGTCACCCGCCAGCTGTGGCTCCTCCTGCCTCAGTTTCCCCCACAGCTGCCAGATCTCCGTCTGCCTGGAAAGGGAGCCCCGGAGACTGGACTCGGGTCCAGGGCCCGTGACTTGGTTCTCACAGCAACACTTGGAGGGATGTGGGCATCGGGCTGCCCAACCCCACTGACCCGATGGGGTGTGGCGCTAACAGCCGGGGTGGCACTGGACAAGCCCTGCTTTCATACAGACGGAACGAAGTCCTGAAGTCGGCGCCCGGCTGAGCCAGGCCCAGCTGCCAAGGGCTCCCTGCTCCCTGGCCCTGCCTCTGTGCCCGCCCCGCCCTGGGGCCTCTCCAGGCACCTCCGCTTCCCAGACCCCCAGGACCCCACACGCCCAAGCCCCAGGCAGGACTGCACCCCAACACCCCACCACAGGCCCTTACTCAGGAAGCAGGTGCCCGGTCCCCAGCTGCCCAGCGAGGGCAAGGAAAGCGGCCCTCTCCTCGGCGCTGACCTCCTCCAGGGCTGGGAAGCCGCTGGCCATAGACACCCGCTGGGAGGGCAGCGGTCGCCACCTGCGCAGCCCATGGGTGCTCAGGCTGGAGCCAAAGATGTTTTCTGGGGGACAGAGGGGAGGAGAGTGGGACTGGGCCCTGCTCCGGCCCTCGGAGAAGAAATCATCCCTGTGCCTGTCGAGTGAGTTCTCACCGACCTCAGGTCAACTGCGGAGCCTACTCTGGCGGACGTGACACCCGCTTTACAGATAAACCATCTGAGGCCCAGAGACACCAAGAGACCAAACGGAAGTCACACAGCAGCTCCACCACGGTGGCTACGCACTCAGTCAAGGGGTATTTACCGAGCATCCGCTAGGGGCCAGTGATAAAATGAGCCCAAACCTCGGCTCTGGTGGGGCTGACATCGGAGCTGGGGTGATAAGGATAATTAATCCTCCTCTCCCTCCCTCCATTTCCTCTTCTTACTCTTGCCCCTCCTCCTCCCTCCTCTCCTCCTCGTTTAAAGCAGATTTGCTAAGTCAGTCAAAGGAATAAACCCAGTAATTTCCAAGGCACCGTGGGGTGGCTAGGAGCATCACAAAGAGATAACACGGTGAATGAACGAGTGGTTCAGGCAGGGAAGATAGCACATGCAAAGGCCCCGGGGTAGGAGGCAGACTAGCAAGACAGAGGGGGCACCTGGTACCAAGTGAGCCCCAGAGGTTGGCAGGTGTGGGTGGTGCAGGCCCTGTGGAGCTGGGGGAGGGGTCCGAGTTTATGTCACAGTGACATGATGGAGCCCAGGGGTGAGGATGCCCCGTTGGGGCTGCTAGGACAACAGTGTCCCCTGCGGTCCTCCCACAGTGCCCGCTGAGTCTTCTCTACATTCAGCTTCTTGGTCCCCAGAGCCGGAGCAGCCGCTGGCGTGGCCACAGGCTGCACTCGCACTCGGCCCAGAGAGGTCTGGGGCCGCTCGGACCCCGGACCAGAGGCTTGCAGGGACTCAGGAAGGGGCTCATCCCTTCTGAAGGCCCATTCTCCACCTCCAGATGCTGGTGTGGGGTGGCCCTGCCCAGGGGGGCTCAGCCCCAGGAAGCCCCACCCCAGGGTCCCAGGATGGAAGCCAGGATGTGAAGGTCCTGGGGAGGGGACACCGAGCCTCGGCCAGCGGCCTCTGACAGCAGCAGCGAGCGCCGGAAGAGACCAGGAAGGGGCTCTCAGGGTCGTGGGGAGTCCCTGGCTACCGGGGCTTCCTGGGGCCCCCAGGACAGACGTACTGAGCCCAGAGCTGAACTCCTCCAGGGATAGGTGGCCACTCCGCTCTGCGTCCAGCCAGTCAAAGATCATCTGTGGCTCCTCCTCGCTGCCCAGGAAGCGGAACTTGGCCTCCTGCAAGGAAGTGGGTTGGGGAGCTGTACCCACAGGGGAGGCTCTGGACCACGCACGCAAGGGGTGTGTGTTTTTGTCTCAGCCTCCCCTTTTCCTCTCCTCAATTTCAGAGCCCCCTAACAATCCGACCCTAGCTGGGCGTGGTGGTGCACGCCTGTAATCCCAACATTCAGGAGGCTGAGGCAGGAGGATCTCTGTGAGTTTGAGGCCAGTCTGGGCTACACGGTGAGCTCAAGGCCAGGCTGAATTACATAGTAAAACCGGTCTCAAAAAAAGAAAAGAAATCATCCAGGCAGACAGCTAATCCTCTCAGCACCCCATGGGGAGCGGCCCTGCAACGTCTTCCTGACTATGGGAAGTCACTCCTCCGGAATGATGGAAATCCAGACCTAGTGAAGCCACACCGTCCTCAGAATCTTGTCCTGAAGCCATGTGAGTCATTTTGTCTGATGAGGGAGATAACTCCAAAGATTCATGGGCTGTTGGGCAGGACCCAGCTTTCACACGGCCCGCTGGAGCTCAGAGCTCGATCCTAATCTGTGTTTGCTAAATGGCCTGCTCGTTTTTCCAACCGTGCTTTGAACAAGTCCTAAGACTCGTGAGTTACATGAACTCTTCAATATGAGTCTGTTTCTTCGTTGATGGGTCACGATGCTCTCAGGATCCTTGGAAGTCCCGGGTCTGAGGACTCACCAGGAGAAGCCAAGTACACACAACGGGCCTTGTGCAAGCCCGGGACCTCTACACTGCCCAGCAGCACCAGCTCTTTTGCATTTTGTTATCTTGAGACAGCGTCTTGCTAAGTGGCTACATTGCCCAGGTTGGGCTTGTATCTGTGATCCTCCTGCCTCAGCCTCCTGGGATGACAGGTGCGTGTCCCCAGACCCAGCTCCTACACCTCTCAGCTCTCAGTGGAATCCCAAATGTAACAGGGCTTTGAATTTGCTCGTTTTATTTCTCTTTTTGTGTGTTTTTCTTTTCAGTTGTACGTGGCCAATTTATTCCGACCGGGTGTGGGGAACAACGAAAGGAAATTCGATTTCACGGTCCATTTAGGGTGCAGAACAGACGGAGGGCCTGCCTGGCCGAGGGGAGAGAACAGAAATTTTGGCTTGCTAATCTTTCTGTTGTTTGCAAGCTTTTCTATTTGTGACCTTATCGGTTGAGAATTGCTATGCGCAGGAAAGGATAACAGCTTTTGAGATCTGGACTGGGGAGTTTGTAGACTTCCTTTTGACCTGAGAAATTGTAGAAATGAGGAAAGATGCTCTCTGTCTCTGGCTGTAATTCAGAAAAATCTTTAACTCTTGCCGTGGCTGTGAACTGGTGTCCTACCAAGAGATACATACATGTTTATCTAAAAAGCAATATGTCTTGAAATAACAGAAAATAAAACTGAAATTCTAGTGTTTTAAATGTGCTACACTTTTTTATTTTTTTGAGACAGGGTCTCACTGCGTAGTTCAGACTGACCCGGAACTCACTATGTAGCCTAGGCTGGTCTCGAACTCACAGCGATCCTCCTGCCTCAGCATCCTGAGTGCTGGGATTACAGGCGTGTGCCACCACGCCCGGCCCTCATTTTGTTTTTTTTTTCATACAGGTTCTCACTATGTAGTTCAGGCTGATCTCGAACCCACTATGCAGCCCGGGGTGACCTTGAACTTGATGGCAACCCTCCTACCTCAGCCTTCCCAATAGCTGAGATTATTGGTGTGCACCACCTTACCTGGATTGCTCCTAATTTTTACATGTTCATGGATGTACCTTTGGGTCACGTTGATGAATACATTGTCATTTAGAAAAAGTTGTTTACCAAAAACTGAAAAGCACCAAAAGGTCACACCATGGATGGTTTGGTACATGACTGTGTCTACCTGCCAGAGACAACTAACTGTCTGCAGTTCTGAGACACACAGGAGGCTTAAGGACAAAATGCTAAGTGAAGCAAGCTTTTTTTTTTTCCTGCTTTTTTGAGACAGGTTCTCACTATGTAGTTGAGACTGACCTGGAACTCACTATGTATCCCAGGCTGGTCTCAAACTCACAGCAATCCTGCCTCAGCCTCCCAAGTGCTGGGATCATAAGCATGCACAACCACGCTTGGCAAAATGAGTTGTTATGACGAGGTTTCTATGAAATTCCTAGAGCAGTCAAATTCAGGGAGACAGAAAGTGCAGCCAGGCTCCCTGGAGTCAGGGAAATATGAGTTGCTCCCCAGAGTTGGCGTTCAGGAGAGAAAGTTCTGGAGCCAGAGGACGGAGATGGTTACAAAACACTGGAGTGCGCCCTAGCCACTGAACAATGACATACTTACAAATGTCTGGCACAGTACATCTTGTCATGTACGCTTTGGCACAATTTAGAAAATTGTACAATGTATAGGTGTGGCAGTAGAAAGTTGTGATATGTGGATTTGTGACTTTGCAAGTCAGCCTAAATGCTTGTATAAAATAATTCTTGTCGGGCATGGCGGTGCATGCTGGGAATCACAGCTACTCAGGAGGCCGAGGCAGGAGGGTTGAGAGTTTGATACCCACCAGGCTAATTAGAGAGACCCTGTCTCTAGAAAAAGAAAATTGAAAAGGACTGGGATGGACTCAGGTTCCCCAGCTTCAATCCCCGGTACCACACGCACGGAGGAAAATTAATTCACAATTACTTAACCTCTGCTCCTTCTGTGATGAAGGTTAAGGATGTTCGTTAAAAGTCATAATTACTTTTAACTTCGATGCCTGAGACTCCACTAAGAGCAAAAGTGACAGAAACACAACTATGTCTGCAAGAAAAATAGGTTCTGATTTCTAAGAAGTCAGGCTGGTGGTTTTGTTTGAAAATGTCTGGTTACTGCAGAACATGGAGGACAGCTGGACGTGGGGCGCACGCCTGTGATCCCAGCACTCGGGAGGCTGAGGCAGGAGGAACGCTGTGAGTGAGGGACGCGTTTACTGCAGAACATGGAGGACAGCTGGACGTGGGGCGCACGCCTGTGATCCCAGCACTCGGGAGGCTGAGGCAGGAGGATCGCTGTGAGTTTGAGGACAGCCTGGGCTACATAGTGAGACTCTGTCTCAAAAAAAAAACCCAAAATAGATAGATAGATGATATCTAGACAGGTAGATGATAGATAGATAGATAGATAAGATAACTTTGTCTTAGAATCTCAGCCAAGCTCACAGGTTGACCACTGACTGGGCTTTGTGAAAGCTGCTGGCTAACAGAAGTCCCTTCTCTGATGACAATGATCTCTTTGGCTTTGTTTTGCTATCCTAAGAGCATCATGGGGACAACGGTCAAATCGGAAGAGATGTGTCATCTTTCCCAGGCTAAGTTTAAAAGTTTTATGAAGATAAATATTTCTGGATTTGCCTGCTCTGCATCGGGGATTTCTAAAGCTTTTGCTGTCCGTATTTTTTGTCTTCTGCCCAAACCCTTATGAAAGTAGCTACGCCATGGGCGCCGGTAGGGAATCCCACTCCCTCCATTCTGTCACCAACAGCTGCTGTCATAAGTGACACAGCACAGGGCTGGGCGGGCTGAGGGGCCGGCACTTTCCCAGCATGCACCGGGTCCCCTCCCCTGTGCCGAAGAAAAATGGGTACAAAACAACCACAGCCTTGCAGCCGTCTAGCCAGGCCGGTTTCCGCTCTGCTCCGACCGCCCCAGGGCCCTGCCGGAATCTGCAGGTCACAGCTTGTGTCTGCCACAAAGAAAGATGCAGTCAAAGCCCTGAGAAAAAGAACCAACCATCCCAGGTTCTAGGAATGCCGGGTTTTCCCCAGGTACAGGTTCTGAACCACACTAGTGACCTTCGGCCCACCTCGTTCTCTGAGGACGCGGGCGTCTGGGGTCCAAAGGCTGACAGGAGAACAAAGATGCATTCCTGAGCCGATGGATGGCTGCAAGAATTCAGCGTGGTTATTTGCAGTGTGAGGACTATTTCATTGTCGACAATACTTCAACGGACCTGTAAACACCTGCATCTTGAGGCGTTTCTAACCCTCAGTTCACTAGATTAGACTGTGGTAAAATTGAAATGAAACATTTGTGCGTGTGGAGGAGTTTGATTCAGGCTCTCACTATGCACAAGGTCAAGCTGACCTTGAACTCGCCATGTAGCCCAGGCTGGCCTTGAATGGGCCGTGATCCTCCTGCCTCAGCCTCCTCAGTGCTGAGAGCCGAGCATCATTTTAGAGACGGCTCATCACTTAATTGGCTGTGGCGGGCCCACTATCGGGGACTCCCTGAGAGCTGTGCTGCTCAGCCCTCTCAGGAAGCTGGTCTGGGAGCATGTGACAGGCAAGCCACTTCCTGGCAGAAAGATTAGGGACCTCGAGAAGCAGAAGTGACTCAAGTGTATAGGTGACATCTGCTGGAGACCGTCTTGGGCTTTGCTGTCTGGCCTGGTGAAGGACGCAGGGTGACGACTTGCCCCAGGTTGCCTGGGTCTGTTCCCGTTCAGTCTCGTATTCCAGGTCCCCTTTGGACCTTGGGAAACTTTGACAGTGGTTTTAAAAGTCCAACCTAAGCAGGCCCGTAATCCCAAAACTTGGGAGGCTGAGGCGGGAGGATCGCCACAAGTTTGAGACCAGCCTGGGTTACACAGTTCACACCGTCGACCCGGAGACCCTGTCTCAAAAACCCCCAAAAGACATTTTTACATCAGCTCTTCACATTTGGTTGTAGCCTTGGGCAACTACAGGGTCCGTTTTGATGGGAAAAGGGCACAGAGTGGATCCTGGAGCAGCACCAGGAGACAGCTGTCCACTCACACAGACCTCTTTGCAGCAAACGAAGAGAAAACAAAGTAAAATTGGTCCATTTTAGTCTACGGCATGGCCTTGTGGATCTCCTTCTTCTGCGGGGGAAAGACACAATTGCAGCTGTTTATTTTTTCCCCCCAATGCTGGGGATTAAACCCAGCACTGAGCTACACCCCCAGCCTTTTTATTTCAAGACAGTGCCTCACTGAGTCCTCTCTGTTACCCAGGCTGGGCTCGAACTTGCAGTCCTCCTGCCTCAGCCTCCCAGAGTGCAGGGATCACTGGTGTGCGGCACCAGGCCTGGCTAAGGCTGATGTATGCTCCTTGAAGCTTAGAGTCATTGGCTTGGTTTGATTTTCAGGGTTCTGACTGCTTCCTAAAATAGGCTTCCCTGCCCAAAAGGGACAGTTGTGACATTTCCAAGTTAAAGAGCTCTCCTTTGTGAGGGCCGGAGCCCCTGAGGAGAGGACACGTGAGGCTCTAGCAGCCGTTTCCATGTTGGTCTGAGAAAATTCCTGGCAGGTTCTGAAACCAATTTTAAGTGAGAAGCGGAGGAGGGAGCAGAGTCGGGAGCGGGGGCCTCGAACTCACCGCCAGGTCCTCGCGGGTGACAAAGCCTCTGTCCTTGGCACCACAGTCCTGGAAGAAGGTCTGCAGCTCTGCTTCGGCCTCTGAGGACCAGGACTCGGGCCCTGGGTTGCCCAGGGCATCCTGGCCGTCGGCCGGCTCTCTCATCTGCCGCCGGCGGCTGGAGCCCAGCTTCCGGCCCTTCCGGTGCATTCTCTGTCCACGTCCAGGGGTCCCAGAGCTGGGCACAGAGAAGCAAGGGCAGCTGGGCTGTGGCACACGCCAGCCCCTCTGAGTCAGGACACCTGCTCCGCCGGTGCCAGGTGCAGAAAGAGCAGGAATAGGGACACGTGGGGGACGCAGGGAAATGTGCACGGGGATTGTATTTAGGTGCAGTTGAGCAGCGTGAAATTTCTTAGGTGTGATAAAGGTCATGTTGGAGAATTTCCCGTCTTTAACGGGCATCTGGAGCTGGGTATGGTGGTAAAACACTTGTAATCCCAACACTCTGGGAGGCTGAGGCAGGAGGGTTGAGCCCAGCCTGGACAACCTAGGGAGGCTCTCTCTTAACATAAAAATATAAACAGGCCTGTGCGTGTATCTCAGTGCAGAGGCCCTGGATT